GAGCAACATAAAATGCACTAATTAGTTACTTTCTTTTGGTTAATTTTCTATTGCCATCAGAGGTCCTAAATTATGGAACACTTTATTAAATAACGAGTTGAAAAGTTGCTCTTCTCTTTCTTTATTTAAACAAAAACTTAAACAAAAACTTATATTGAAAACTTAAAGAATTAAATTCTTTTCTTTTTTAAATACTATCTTATTAACTTGTCTCTAATTTAAATTTTCTTTAAATTATCTTTTTGCTTTGTTGCGCGAGCAACAGCGATAAATAAATGTTGATTCTTGAAAAAAAATTTTAAAAGATTTAAGTTATTCAAATTTGCAGCAGTTATTCTATCCCGTTTTTTACTACGTTTGCTAGAAATTGAGCAACTTTTCTCACATCGAATTTGATAAATTTCAACGCATGTTCTAATTTGCATAACTTTTCTGATTTGAATCCAGTCGTTACGTAGCTGTTAAACTCTTCAGTAGTTAAATCATTAGAATCAGTGACTTGGATCTGTTGTCTTAAATTGGATTTTCTTTTTTGTCTTTGGTCTTTAAGCTTTTTGACAAAGTTTGAAGTTGTTCGATATTTTAAGGAAGCAAGAAGACATAACTTAGAGCCGATTCGTATGTATGCTGAGCTTCAAATGCGATTTCCATACATCATTACCGTCATCATTACTAGATGGAATGAAAAAAAAAGTCAGAGTCTTTTTGCTTCTTCAATAATTTTTTTAATTTTGTGATATTAAAAATACGGATTCTTTTGGCTCTTCAAGAACTCCTGGATTGTTAAAAAATTTGAGCCGAATAACAGTTAAGATTGGACGTCTTTTAAGATTCTCTATTTCCATTTCTTCAATCAAATGACCACAAATAAAACTTCATTTGCAATTTCTCTAATAAAAATTTCAATGCACCTTCTGCAATTTTTAATTCTCTAAATAATCAGAAAAATCATGTCCAAATGCTTTAAGAGTTTTTAAATATAGCTAGCATCATCTCATTGAAAGTTTGTAACATTTTCAATGTACTGTTCCATCAAGTTCTAACATCGAGAACCATCAATTTGAATTTAATTTGATTTTGAATTCATCCTCTTCTTTGTTTGTTGTTGAACTAAGCACGCTTGGTGCAATGCAATAGTTCTGAGATGTGCATGGTAACATGTCACTCTCTGTATCTGATTCTTATTTGTTGTGGTCTGATAATGAATCATTGATATCTTTAATTATCTTTTTACGTTTTAGTACTCGTGTCACACAAAGATGGCTTTCATGATTTAAAAAAAATGTTTGCCCCAGCCATAGTTTCACTAATGCAATCATGGTCAGGATCAATGCCAAAGGTTATTAATTGATGGTTTTGCAACCACAAAAAGAGTTTTTCACATTCTTTTCTCTTTTTGATTATACCAAGATTTAGGTTGTGATTATTGGGTCCAAAAATATGGATGTTCATAACTTTAATTTGTTTAAATATTGCATCGTCATTCACATAAAAAAACTCTCCTCCATTGTATTTTATTAGCGTTATTTCCTTCACCACTTTGTACTTCACATACGCTGTTGAGCTATAAACTGCCTGACAAACTCTCTCGACGTTTTTGGGAGCTTCAACTTTTGTGTAACTTTCAATCAGCTTTTTCACCTATGGATTTGCAATTTGATTGAAACTAGGTCCAATATTAGATGCTAGCTTTGCGACATTTTTGTCAGTCAATGTTAGTTTCACTTTAAAAAACGAGTAAATCATTTTTGAGCGAACCTCCAAGGAAGTAGTTTAGCTATCAGTATGAAGAGTTTCTCATATAATTCTCTAAAGGAAATTACTTATTTTGTCATTAATCATTATTCTTAACGAATATTAGAACTTTATTTAGATTATCCAGATTAATTTATTTAGATTTTCATTGTTATAATTATTTAGATTGTCATTTGTTATGTTATGCAGAGGACTCTTGTTTTCTCAAAAACATTGCGACTCTTCTCTCATTCAAAAAAAACGCTAATTTTGAAGGTTTTCAATATTTTTGCAACGAGCTAAAAACGCCTATGATTGTGGGATTGCAACACATTGTTGCATAATACTTTCTAAATGGAGAGGAAGCTTATACATCAAATGGATGTATAAGTTTCCTCTCCATTTAGAAGGAAAAAGAAAAAACTAAAAAGTTAAAAAAACAACATTGCGATTAATGATAATGATTCATTTCAGTAATTATTTAATTTGGTTTTTGAACTTACAGGGTCATTGAATTTAAGATTAACTTAAAGTAACAGCACTGTTTTTTAGTTGATGTAGTGTTTTAGATTATCTATTTTAAAAGAAACACTAAAAACAAGAAAAATTAAAATCTGGGTTGAGTTAATTTAATTTTAAACTAATTAAGCGAAATATTCTTATCAGCAACAATGATTGGAAAACTTTTCCACAATAATGGCCCGCGATTTTGAATTGAATAAGAATTTGGGACAACAAAGTTTTTTTGGAAAAACTTATAGAATTCTGGTGTATTTCTACAAAATAAGTTTTAAAATTTTGTGGAGACAAGTCCACATTTTGTTTTATACATGAACTGTAAAACTAGATGAATGTTAAGTTTGAGAATATTTAAGGCGCCAAGTCTACATAAAAGAGTTTTACAAGGAACAGCTTTACCAGCTCCAATTACAATTCTAACTCCATGTTTTTGCTTGTTGCACAGTTTTATTAACTTAGTGTGATTACTACTTGCCCATACTATATTGCCGTAAGTTAAATAACTACGTATAAAAGAAAAATATAAATTTTTTAAGGAACTAAAATTTAAAAATGTCTTTGCTTGCTAGAGCATGCCAATATTTTTTGTGATTTTTTTTCAATGAAGTTTATGTGCTGTTTCCATGATAGATTTTCATCAAAATTTACTTCTATAAAATTAACGGAAGTTTGCCTTTTAATGTCAATTTTATTAATTTGGAGATTGGGTAAAACAAGTTGTATTTTTTTTGATTTGCTAGGTTTGTGAAAAATTTTGTTTTTTTGAAAATTTAATGACAGTTTGTTGCGTATAAACATTTTATTTACTTTATTTTGTTCTTCATTGACAACTTTAAAAAGTGTTTCAATATTTTTATGAGAATAAAAAAGATTAGAATCATCTGGAAATAAATGAAATTTAATAAGTTTGATGTTGAAGATTAATCATTAAGGTAAAGTAAGAAAAGGTCCTAATATAGAACCCTGTGGAACTTCACAAACTATAGCATTTTTGGCTGTTTCTATATTATCACATTGTACGTATTGTTTTCTGTTCAACAATACGTACAATGTGATAATTTAAAAGTAACTTTCAAATCAGTGTTTGAATCCTTTATTCCGTAATGTTCCGTAATTTTTTTAATTAGAATGGAATGATTTACTGTGTCAAAAGCTTTGGGCAGATCAATGAAAACTCCTTATGTTAAACAGTTTTCTTAAAAGGCATTAGATATATGGTTAACTAACTACCCAGCCGGAATTTGATCCTACAAAGACGCCTTTTGAACGTTTAAAATACGTTCAGAACGTCTTTTGAACGTTAGAAAGATGTTTTTTTGGGACCAAATGCCGGCTGGGTCTACTATGGCGTGATCAGTTGAATGCTATTTTTTAAAACCAAATTGCTTACTGTATAACATATCATTTTCAATTAAATAATTATACAGTCTATTGTAAGTTATACGTTCAACCAATTTAAAAAAATACAATAAGACAGAAATTGGTCTGTAATTTTAGGGGTCTGATTTATCTCCAGCTATAAAAATTGGAGTGACTCGTATAACTTTTAAATTATCCGAAACTAAATCCTTAAAAAACGAAATCTAAAAATGAATAACACTAATAAGTTAACAAGTAGAATAAAACAAGAAAGTGGAACGACGTATATAAATGTCAAGATACTATTAAAGCTTACAATGCTTTTTTAAGTACATTTTTTGGAGTATTTTAACAATACCTATCCACAAAAGGTTATAAAAATTAAGTCAAAAGCAATGGCTAATCCGTAGATGGATAAATCGTTATCAAAGTGCTCAAAAAAAAGCAAAAACTTTACAATTTCTGAAAAATAAAAACGTAATTAAACTAGCAAAAGTAACTCCATTATACAAATGTAATGATCATTCTAACATTATAAACTACAGACCTACATCAATACTTTCTGTATTTTCAAAACTTTTCGAACGTGTAGTTTATAATAGAATCTATGATTACTTTATAAAAATTATTTTTTTTAGCATGCAGTTATTGAAATAGTAAATCAAATAACTAATGGTTTTGAAAATAACAAGTTTACTTTAGGAGGACAGGAATCTATTTCTCACCAACAATAATACCAAAAAACTATATGCGTACATGAATATAGATAAAGTAAACAACTGGTTTAAGGCTAACAAACTCTCGCCTAATGTTGAGAAAACAAAGTAAATACTATTTCATGAAAAAACACAAGAGAAAAATCTTCCTCTCAAGTTGCCTAACATATTCCTAAATGATAAACTAATTAAAAAGCAATCCAATATAAGATTTTCAGAAATCATTGTTGATGAAAAGTTATCCTGGCTTCCTTCCGTTTTTAAAAATTTCATATTAATTGAATGGAGTACAAGAATGAATGGAGTTATGATATACAGCTAATAAAACTTTAAACTTTAGTTATTTAGAAAACAATATTTTTGATTTTTAAAATCAAGTGGTTCTATTTAATTACCGAGTTTTAGTAAACCTTTTGCTGAATAATTGCAATTACTAATGGTTAAAAATTTGCAGCATATCCCTAGAATAATTTATTTTTAATGTTTTAATAAAGATCATTTCAGTAAATATTTGTTGTTTTTTTATCCAGTGAAACTTGTTTTTTTTTATTGTCGGTTACAAGCATATTCCGAAGACGACTTGAAACTGCTTTGATGTTTGCGGCTTGATGAACTTCCATCTGTGTTTTATTCATGATATTCATCTGAGCGCCGAATGTCCGCAAAATTTTATATCCGCCATGATGGATGGCAACAAGATGTAAACAAATGTAAAAATGGTAAAAAGCTGTTGCGCACCATACTGTAAAAACAGAAAAATTAAAGGTAGCACAATTTCTATTCATAGGTTTCCGAAAGAAGAAGAGCGCAGAAAGTTATGGATTGCTCTTTTAAACAGAAAGATTTTGCCGCATTTGGAGTTTGCTTACATTTGCGGTGAATATTTTATTACTGGTAAGTCAAGTCTTCTTGCGTGGATTTATTATGTTAAAATAATATATAGACATATGAGCACTTTTAAGTATACAAATACATATATGCATATATATATATATATATATACAATATATGTATATATACAATATATGTATATATATATATATATATATATATATACATATATATACATATATATACATATATATACATATATATATATATATATATATATATATATATATATATATATATATATATATATATATGTATATATATGTATATATATGTATATATATATATATATATACATATATTGTATATATACATATATTGTATATATATATATATATATATATATATATATATATATATATATATATATATATATATATATATATATATATATATATATATATATATATATATGATTATATTTTTGTATATTATGTATAGTTAACTTTTTTTTTTAGGAAAAAAAAATGATGATAAAAATCATGCTGACTTTGTTTCTTCCATTAAAAAAGTTAACAAAAACAATAAAGGTATACCTATTGAGTTTAATGACATTTCATGTTATTCATCAAAAAATATATATTCAGAAAGATCAAATCATTTAAAGAAGAGCAATGCTGAAAAAGTGCTTATTGAAGAAAATAGTATTAACAGTTGTTTGCAAAAAGAAATTGTAAGAGAATCCAAAACTGTCAAAATTATAAGGGAGATAAGAGAAGAAAACGAGAAGTTAAAAAACTCAGTTAAAAAAGTAAAAGAAAATTCAATTTTATACATGTCTTCCTGATATACATTTTTTTAAACACGTTTTTAACTAATTGAAAACCATGTGCCAGCTAATAATTCTTTAACTATGACAAAGTTGCAAGAATTTTGTATTGTTTTAATGAAACTGTATCAAAATTTGCAGGAACAAGATATAGCGTACAGATTTGGTATAAGTCAACCAACCATATCATGAATCTTTGAGAAATGGCTTCTTATAATGGCACGCAAACTATTCTTTTTGATAAAGTGGCTAGAGAGAGATATATTAAGGAGAACAATGCCAGTTTGTTTTCAATAATTTTTTCCTAAATGTGTTGTAATTATTGACTGCTTTGAGATTTTTATTGAAAAACCAAAAGATCTGACAGCTAGAGCTCAAACTTTTTCTAAATATAAACACCATAATACTGTTAAAGTTTTAATTGGCATTACTCCACAAGGCTCAATATCATTTGTTTCAGAAGCTTGGGTTGGAAGAGTATCTGACGTTTATATTACAGAAAATTCTGGAATATTAAATAATCTACTTATTGGTGATCAGGTTTTAGCAGACAGAGGTTTTACCATTGCAGATTCTGTTGGTTTATATTGTGTGGAATTAGATCTTCCTGCTTTTACAAGAGGAAAGTTTCAGCTATCTCAAATAGAAGTTGATTGGACGCGAGAGATTGCCTGTGTACGAATACACGTTGAATGTTTAATTGGGCTTCTTAGAAATAAATAAATTATTCAAACAGATGATGGAATATGTAAACTAAATGATATTTTAACTGTTTGCTCTGCTTTATGTAACCTTTGTTGTGGAGTAGTCCCTATTGATTGACTTTTATTTTAATATATAAAAATACATATATGTAGTATTATGTTTATTTATAACTTTTTTTTTTGATTCTGGTTTTCTTGTGGCAACATTATGGGCAAAACTTTTTCCCAATTGGTTTACTTGTGAGTCCAAGACAATTAAGATGATAGGTTTTTATAACATAAGTTAAATCAAAAAATTTAATTATAATACTCTCTTTAATTTTTTACCGCATATTGTTTCAAAATTGTTACTTTGTTTTAATGCCCCAATATTTACAAAAGTATTATGACTTCTAGAATACCATTTGGCAAGGAGTTCAGGCAATATCGCTAAAATAAAAAATTCTTTGTTTAAGTTTTCAGTGAGGAATTCTTTATCAACATCAATTTTTTCAATTAGACTGGCTTCACTATCATACTCAATAAAATAACAAATCAGAATATTTGAAATTAACATTTGTAGCTGAACTTGATAATAATATTGATGAGTTCTTTTTAAATTATGTTTTCCGTCTTTTATTTCCATGCAAAACTCTTTATCATTACTCTCGAGTTCCTAATAAAACGTCAATCCGTTTATTAAATTTTGGATATTTTTCCCACCCACACTAAGCTTATTAAGACCCCCCCCCTCCCCCCGTTCATTAATTTTTACTTGTTATCGACAAAAAAAATATATATCCTAAAAGTAAAAAAAAAAAAAATCAGTAAAAATCGGCCTTAAAAGTTTGAAAATAACTTTCAGTCACTGATAAAAACAAAAACTTTCAGTGTAAACAGGTTTTGCAAATTGTCGACCTATTAAATCTCGATTTGCTAAAAATGAACTTTTAGTTTATTTCTCAACAAAGCTTTAGGATTTAATATCGTCGTGCAAATCCGCGTAACTAGCATTGGCTACTATATTTAAATATTAATCATTTTTACACCAAATATTTATTGTTGAGATTACAAAAAACATGAATAATACTCTTTTTACTAAAATGAACTTAAAATCAGTTAAAATGAATAAAGGTGGAATTGAACATGCCCCCCCCCCCCCCTGTTTATAAAATTTCAAAAAAAGTCCCCCCTCCCTCCGCCCCCCTTCCTTCCCTCCTCGTTTTTAGATTTTGACTAAAATTCCCACACACCTGTTTATTTCCCTCCCCCCCTCCCCCGTTGTATTTGGCACTCGAGAGTATTTGCCAGTTCAAAGACCTTTCTTTTTGTGCATTTAAATGGACTTTTTATTTCAACTATGTATTCATGAGAACAGCATGTGCATTTCATAATACCATCAGGAGTTGCTCTGATGTATGACTATATGGGTGTTTTAGGGGTCTAAGCAATCCACAATCAAAAATTTCAACATTTTTGTGAGTTGTTAATAGATGCAATTTTAAATAGTTTTTAGCTACAATTTCATTATCACAACCATACTTTGTTGCTTTGGCGATAAATTTTTTTTCTGATGGATAACAAATTTGCATTATTAAATTTTTAGAAGGCATGGCTATATTTGAATGACAACAAGCTTTGAATTTACTAGCAGTGATAACTCCTGCACGTACTCTAAACCATAAACTTGATTGAGATTTTTTTGTATAATCTGAAATCAATTTAATTTCATCTTCAGTTATTTTTATATCTGGAAAAGTTTTATTTGAAAGTTGCACAAATTTATGATATTTTATTTGTTCATGTTCTCTTTTATAAAAGTTAAAAATAATTGTATTTAGTTTTGCAACTAAAGGTATATATTTATAACTATATTCAGAAATTATACGAAAAATTACAATATCTCTTGCATTATCTGATATTTTATTGTAAAAGTTAGCAATTTACTTGGAATTGGAACGGATAAGGCTTTTTTAATATATGGTTTTGCTTGTGTTTTGTTCTTTACTTTTGCTTCAATTTTTTTTTAGGATCGGTAAAATTAATTTGTGAAAGTGGCAAATAAGTAACTTCCTTAAGGTTTGGCGGCAACCAAACACACAATTGAGATGTATAAACACCATCATTATTTCTTTTTCGATTATCAGATGTTATCATTAAATAAAATAATGTTGCTCCAATATGAGAACAGACTTCGTCTAAACCTGCCATACATGTGCAATGTGCATTTATAACTTGACCATCTTCTTTAACGCTAACCCATACCCGTGTTGGAGTTTTAGAAAAAATGCTCTGACCATGTCTTACACGACTTGTAACAATATAAAGAGACTTTACACCATGAATGAACTTTACAAGAACGTTGTGGACAAGACCACTGGTTACATAGTTGTAAGATTCAAGACCTTTGTACGATTTTAAACTAGAACTTGTAAACTGACTTGGAAAGTTGATTAGATAGCTGTATATATCAGCAAAAGATAGATTAGGCCATTTGTCTACGTTATTAGTTAGTTCACAGTCTTTTTCTGTGAAAGAATACTGATCAAAAATAATCTCTAGAACTGATAATTTTTCTTCGCTTTTTTGCTTCCTAATTAAGACTCTCGTAATACTGTGATCGCAAAATTCTAAGCAAAAAAAATTAATTTCAACAGATCGGCTTTTAGTATCTAATATTTGTTTACATTTTTTTGTGTATCATCATGGCGGATACAAAGATTTACGGACGTTTGGAGTTCATATGAATATCATGAATACTTCCATGATATGATTTACGAAATTTTCGGATACGGATGTAACAAAAACAGTTTATTTTATTATTACGCACAATTTTAATTTTCTCCAAATAACCTATTAAAAAATTCATAATGGTTTCTGGATCTTTTTGCTGATAAAATAACTTACAATCAAACTCGTGGACAGACTCCATCCATGATGCATCTTATGATCTAAAAATTCACACATGGGTTCATAATGTGTATATCTATTCCAGTTTACAACAGTATTCACACATGGGTTCATAATGTGTAAATAAATTCCAGTTTACAACTATATACCTTCTGATGACTGATGTCATAAATATATACGTATTTCATTAAAAAACAGTAATTTTTATGTCTATTTTGCTTAAAACTACTATATAACTGTAATTTATGCATAGAGTTGTAAACTGAAATTTGAGATCCAATTGAAATTTATCTTTGTAAGTAATAATATTGATAGTTAGGGAAACCGTCATTTAGTCTATCCAGCTGATTATTTCTAGTTTTAGTACTAGTTTTTTAAATAGATTGAACTTCAATATCTATATAGCTTTTATAGAGCAGACTTTATAAAAAAACCACACGATATATATTTACACTTAAAAATAGGGAACGAAAAATCGACCATTTGCGGTGATCGGACTTCTGCGGTGATGGTTGGTTATTAGCTAACCGCAGCGGTTGGTGCGCGGTGATGCATTGGCGCTGTCACCGCCAATGTGGCGCTGACCTCTGCGGTTAGCTGATAACCGACCATCACCGATCACCGCAAATGGTCGATTTTTAGTTCCCTACTCAAAAATACATAATATACAAAAATACATAAATGTATATCTATAGCCCTAATTAAATAATTAAGATGGTAATTTTTTGCAACTTTTCATAAAAATTAAAAAATTGCGAACGTTTTGGACCAAATTTCGTATTTCTTAAAATAAAGCTATGGGATTTTTTAAGGCAAAACATATCGCCGTGTATTACGATATTTATTACGATATTTAATTGAAATTTTATTACGTATATATTTTACGAAAGTTTATTATTTTATTGAAATTTTGTTGAAGTGGCTCTATGAAAAGATTGCGGTGACGTACTGTCATCCTCATCTTTGAGCCCCTATCTGTTTTACATACTTTTTTTAATAAAGTACGAAGTTGTAAAATTCTTATATTATATTAAAACTGAAAAAGAAAAAAAAAGCGGTTATTTAAAAAATTATTAGTAATTGTGTAATGAAGTAGAGTAGAAGACCTTTTTGTGATCTTTGATGGTTTAGTTATTGTTGGAAAGTATTTTGTAAAACTGCATTTACAAAACATTTAACACAATTTATTTGACGCATGGTTCAAAAGATCAATATTGAGGTCACCGTCAAAGTAAACGTGCTTTTGAGATTTTTTTAACTTTGGTTAAAAAAATGCGTAAGCAAGTTTTAAAACTTTTTAAATTACCAGCTGGTTATTTAAAAAATTTTATAATATGATATATAAATATCATTAACAACTTTGCTTTTAGAGTTTTGGGTAATAATTTCCATGCATAATAAATCCCAATCTTTATCATTAGCATCGGGGTCATTGCGTGGTATAAAATTGATAGAATTATGGATAAAAATAAAAACACCTACGCTTGTACGAAAGTTTCGCGGTTAGTGAATTGATACGTAATTTGTTAATTCAAATTGCAAATTATGTTTGTCATTTTTACACCAGGTCTCAGTAAGACAAATTATTTTAAATTTCGTGACTTAATTCATGCATTAAAAGTTTAAAATTTTTACCAATCCCATAACTCGCCCCTAGTTGAACTCCGTAAAATTAGAGTCATAAAACTTAATACTCTTCTTGCAATGTTAAAAAAAGAAACTTTTATTAAATAAGTTCTTTTGTTAAAAAAGAATTTTTTTTTTTTAAATCTGAAATCAATAACATTAATTATATTATAGACTTGTTCAGTCAAATCTCTATTTGTGTTTTTAGAACACGTATAGACATTTTCCAGATTTTTTTTAAACTAAAAAAAAATTTGGAAGATGTCCGTACAAAAAACCACCCCGTCTTACAGACAAACATAGTAGAATTAATTTTTTTGAAAACTTCAAAAAAATTTTTTGAGAACTTCAAAAAATAGAATAACTACACTTTTTTATTTTTTTTATTTCACTTTTTTCATTTAACAAAAAAGTCCCAGCCGATTTTTTTTACCGATAATAAAAATATGACCTTGGATACCTGGGTATCCAAGGTCAAGTGTAAGTGCTTAAATTTATAATAATTAACTAGCAGGTACCAGCGTACAGGTTTAATGAGACATCCAAATTTTATCCGAAGACCTGAAAAATCAATTTAAAGTTAGCTTCTCTTCTCGTTTATTTTAATAAACAATATGGGGTTCGTCCATAAATTACGTCATGCTCTAGGAGGAAGAGGGGTAAGTGGTTTTGTGACGGCTCGCACGGGACTTGTTACTAAAGAGTTAAAATGTTGTGACAAGGGGGTGGGAGGAGTCAAAAATGGTCGAAAAATTGTGTAACTTTATTATGATTGTCACATAATTGACATCTCTATGAATCTATGATCTATGTAAAATGACATCATAAAGTTCTGATCATTAATGTGGTACACCCCCCCCCCCCCTTCATTCTAAAAAACTAGGTTGTTGTAATATCAAATTTTTTTTATCATAAAATTTATCTTTTGAAGTTGATTTAAATATATTTCTTCCTTGAGCAGAAGTGATACTTGTAATGGCATTTGTATTTTACTACCATCCCATTGAAAAAAAAGGCTTTTTAAAATTTACTTTAAACTTTTGTTGCTATCAACAACGTAAAACTAAACAACAGCCTTGACTTGATGTTCCACATAACTGATTTTCTGAATAGAATAATTAAGTATTGTTTTCTAAAGACTGAAACTACAAAAGTATTGTTTTCTAAAGACTTTCTGGCCGACTGATACTTTAAGAAAAAGGTAATGGATCATTTCATATCATATTTTACCAATGTGCATGCGCAGTTATAATAAAATGTAAACAAGCATTCATATTGGAACTGCTAATCAATGCTTTTATTTTTGTTGAAAGACCTAAGGCATACCCATTTTAATACAATTAAACGAATACATCTTAAAATATAGCAAGTATGAGCAAGTATTATTTTTTAAATACGTGTATAATAATGTTTTTTTATTTTGCATACAATTTAAGAGCGAAAAGTTAAAAGACAGTTTGAGACAAAAAATTTTGTTTGTAGTTCAATTATAGCATAAAATAATATAATATGTTAAGCATATTTTTAGGAAATATTTCCATTCTATAGGATTTCAAAATTTTTTATGAACAATATACAGATAAAAAGATAGAGCTATTTTTTTAGATTTTGGCTCAGTAAATATAACTTAACAGCAATTATCAAAGTGGTATATGCATTAACGCCAATCAATTTAATGAGTTCATTAAAAGTTGTTGTTTGTAAAAGTTTAAAGAGTAAATAAAGTTTAAAAACAAGAAGAAAAAACTGTTAAGGGGGGAAAGAGAGGTAACCGAATCGCTGCGGCACTTTCTGAAAGTTACGTCACCTAAACAGAAACAAAACCTGGATTGCTGTTTATGTTATCAAATTTTCAATTTTAATGGTTGATGTATGGCTAATTAAGTCCGCTAGGATGCAATACTAAAGCAACATATAAATAAAAATAAGAAATGAATATAATCCTCAAGTAACAAAAAATGTGCGTTTTAGCCCTCCTCCTCTTCAAAATATCCCTCTAACGGGCCAATTTCCGACAGACAAATAGGAAAAAAGTTCGCCCTTGCTAAATTTTTTTACTTAGATTTTAACTTAAAGATGTTTGTGTTTTCGAATTTTTTCTAAGATACAAGATAAAGTTTGTTTGAAAATCGAAAAAAAAGATATAAACTGTAATGATAAATTATATCAAATCTGGTAAATATCTAAGACATTAAACTAGATGTTATTTATTTATTACGAATTATAGCCGAACACGGTTCGATACAGGCAATTTTGACTTTTTTTAATGATTAATAATATTTATAAAAGAATTTTAAGAATTTTATGGCTCAATCATATTTTATTTAGTATTGCATTATTTTTTGTTTAGTATTGATGATCTATTTAGAATTCTTTATTAGCGATTGTTCAAAAAAATTAAATGTATAATGATCTTCACTAAAGAGTATTTTATTGTTATATACTTTAGTAAAGTTTGTAATACTGTTTAATTATTTTAAATATTTTTGTAATGCTTATACTTATGCCCAAAATTTTTTATAGGAGTTATCTTATTTTTTTTTTGTAAAACATATTTCTGCCAATATATTATGATTATTTATGAATGATATCTTATTGTTGTCGTTAATAATGTTAACAGCAACAATAAGCAATATACACTGAATAAATAATAAACTGTGCTTATTTATTATGATGATAATATATATGATTATATATTTAATTTCCCACTGTTATTTGTTAGCAACATGTTGCATATTATATTTTCAGGGTTATACATATTTAAATATTATTCTAAACAATGAAACTATAAGAATGACTCTTCCACGCTATGCATCAATCTTAGAGTCTTCAGAGAGCAAAAATCAAATTGATTGTGTAGCATTTTTCCAGTCAATTTCACAACTTGATGTTTGCAATGAGGGTAGTTACCATAGTTTTATGAGAGATTATAGAAATGTTTGTATAAAAATTGTTGGTGTAAGTGACAACATTCGTTTCTGTGATGTTATTCCTGATTCACCAGAGTTTGATCAGTTTTCTGTTGATTTATGGAAGCAATACTATATTCAAGAAGGCATTGTCCAAATTGCCTTGTTAGAGGACAAACAGCCTTTAGAAGTTAGAGTTGTTAATTTTCTTGACTTTATTTTTTTGTAATAAATATTTTTTAAATCCATAAAGTTTGGAATTTAAAAAATATATGAGTTTAAATTTATATATTTTTTTAAATATCAGATTTTAACACTAGTTTTAAATAAGTTGATTAAAAATAATTTTAAAATTGTACTTAAATTTAAAAATGTCCAAGCCATGCTATATATGTATATATATATATATATATATATATATATATGCATATATATATATATATATATATATATATATATATATATATATATATATATATATATATATATATATATATATATATTGATGTTATATATTAATAAAAATGTAATGTAAAAAATATAATTAAATTATATAAATTAATAAAAATGTTATATATATATATATATATATATATATATATATATATATATATATATATATATATATATATATATATATAAATATATATATATATATATATGTATGTATGTATGGAAAAAGAATTAATTTTGTTGGTGTCTGATTTTATATAGTTATTTGCAGAGATCCAGTATGATATTTTTAATATATTTTTAATATTTATCATAAAATTAAGCTGCTTAAACTTCAGCTTACAGTAAAAAAATAAATATGACATTTGTATTTATATTGATTTTCTTGGTAAATATTGCCAAAAAGCTTCTCTTTTAAATATTCTTGTCAACATTATTAACATAAGTATAATCCAGCTTTCAATTTAGGTCTACAAGTTTTTTATTAGTTTAAAGACTTTTAATAACCATTTCTTTATATAGTATAAGATAACTTCTTTATGTAGTATAAAATAAAGCAAAAAAAAAAAAAAAAAATTTAAAATTTGATAAAAAACAAAAAGATTTATTAAAGCCTTTTTTTATTTTAAGATTAGACAAATTTGTAGCAGGAGATGGTGTTTTTAAAGGCAATCTTTTTTCACTTTCTGGTGTTTTAAAAAACATCAAAAGGTCGAATTGTTGCTTTCTTCCTCTTTAAGGAATAAAATGAATGACTTTAAAAAATAAAGTGAAAGAAATAAAATGAAAGAAAAAATCATGCCGAAAAACTATAAGCTAATGAGCAAGATTTAACTTTGAATGTTGAACTTTTTTTTATTAACAAGTGCAGATTGAAAAATTAGCAGTTTTTTTATGAATGTCTAATTCTTGACAATAGATATATCTGTTGACCAGTAATCGAATAATCAGGTCAAAGTTTATGATAGTTGATACATTCTGAAGACTACCAAACTGTAATCAAAACTTTTTTCAGTATAATTCTGGCTTAGGCATATGTTTGGGTGTCTCATCTTTGTCTACTGATTGACTTGTTCATTGACGCTTATTGTACAAGATTCACTTCTCAAATCAAAAAATGATTTGGTCTAAAAATGGTTTCATTTTTAGAAAGTAAAAAAGATAAAGTTTCAAGTTTTTTTACTTTTATAATTTCAAATGCTCAAAAATGGTTGATCTGATACAATGCAATGACAATTCTTTACATGTTGTTTGAGAATTCAGTTCATATTCAATTCATAGGACATATTTTTCATAAGTCCTAAAAAGAAAATAGTATTTTTTGTTTTTTGATATTTTTTTTTAATTCTGATTCATAATAGAATAGAGTTAAAGAGCAAGAAAATAGTTGACAGAAGACTTGAAAAGTTTTAGATAGTATGAGTTAGGAAAACATGAAGATGGGAGATAGTTACAAGGGGTTAAAGTGCAGGCAAAAAAAACTAGACAAATAAAAGTTTTTAGAGTAAAAAAATGAGGCTTTGCTGAATGTCTAGATGAGAAAGAGCCAGGGTTGCAAATAAACCTTTTTTTTTTTTTTTTGGAAAAAAAAAATAACAAAAAAACATTATTTTTTTGGTCCTTTTTTTTAAAAAAAAAAAAGCATGTTTAGTCAACTTTTTCAATTAAAAAAAGCATTAGTCATTTTACTTGAGTAATTAATAATATTTTATTAACATTACTGCTGTAGTTCACCAACTAATACATCATTATTTAATGTTCTGTATATAAAAACAAGCTTTGCTGCTTTAAAAAATTTTAAATATTCTTTTAGTTCCAGCTCTAGAAGCTGGTGTGCTTAACAACCTTCAATACATGATAATGTTCCACCATTCTATTGGTGATACATTTTTTAAAACAGATTCACTATGCAAATAGCTTTTATTGAATGGACCAAATTTGGCTTTCAACTTGAATATTATTGATACCAAGTTCTTAAACTCTTTATCTCTAAAGGTCGTTGCAGCTTTGTTTTCAGAAAGGTTTGACCCAAAATATCTAGGATCTTTTGTGTTTCCCTGGTAATGAGCACCACTGGCAGTCTGAAGATATCTAGTTTCCAATATTTTTTTTTTTTATCAGTAATGATAACAAGTTTATCAGCTCTTTAAAAATTTTAATAGTGTCACTTATCTTTTTGCAACTTATCTAGAGCAACTCCAATTGGCTTTAATATTTTAAATAAAAAAATTAGTTTGGTTTTAATTGATATTTTTTAGATTGGTTTAAATCATGGTTTAAAACCTATTAACCCTGGAAAGAGCATCATTAAAAAAATCAACCCAAATATGACAATGAGAAGATGTAACGAAGAGGACAAAGTGAGAGCATTGCCATTCAGCAATATAGGAGTGTCGACAGTATTATGATAGTTATTTGCAGTAACTGAGTTTTGATGAAGTTAAAATCAACAAGCCGCTGCAAACCCCAAGTTGATAAAGAAGAGAGATCAGATTTAAGATTAGCTGCCTGTTCTAAGCCATTGAAAGTGAAGACTTTTGTCAAGACGGAAGTATAAAGTTGAGTTGTAGAGAGTCACTTTAAATGTAAGATTGTCAGGAAGATTATCAATGTAGATAAAAAACAAAGCAGTACCAAGGTTAGGCATCACAACATTAGGAAAAAAAATTGTTTACTTTGCAGTTGTCTGTGTCTCCATTGTGTTCCATTATGATAACATATAATATGAGTGAAAGATTTTAAAAATCAAACAATGTTTAGAGGTCCCACCAAGAAAAAAACAAAATTTGTGGAATCGTGATAAAAAAATGATCATTAAACTTCATTTTCTAGCTTTATTCTAGCATATTTTTTGTCAATATAAATGTTTCATTGTTTATAATGTTATAACTATGGTAATGATGTCTTTTAAATTGATAAATGAAGCAAAAATTACTATAGTAATAAAAATGTAATTAAAAAATTTCTCAATTCTTATGAAAATGTGCAAATTTTACTAAATTTGGAAAGAATCTAAATTGTACTGTTAGTTCATAGAATAGTTTGATGCTTATTATCATTGCTTAAGCAACATTCATCTTATATAATCATAGTACTTCATTGTTGCAGCATTTCTGGCGCAGATTTGGAGCATCTCTACGGTCTTTTTTAACACCTTTAAGAAGGTTTTGAAAGTGTTTGTCGGATCTCTCAGTTTCGACAAAGTCTGATGCTAATTTGACACAATCGTTAACAATATCTACAGCTCCAACATTAGTGGCACTGGAAATGTAAGCGTCAGACTTGCTCCAGTCACTGACAGGAATTTTCAAGAAGCTGGTGTCCAGTTAAAGCTGATTAATTGTAAACCAGGAATCAATTCCAGCATAGTCACAGAGTTGTGTTGAGCACTGGATGGACAATTAGAAATGTGGCTTTCCCCAGCTATTGCCAAAGCAATCCAGTGGAGCTTCTAGGACATTCCCAGGCCTGAGCTTAAGCAAGGCATCTGCCAGAGCTTGTCGTTCTGACATTGGAACACATTCACTGAACAGCGCAAGTGGAATCATTTCAGCTATGAGATAGAAAGATGACGATTAAGTGCTCGAATTGCAGACTGAGATATATCTATGTCAAAAATTTCATACTCCAGAAGGTGCTTGTACAGCTATAGATCATTCCATGGTGAATCAACAGTCTTCTTACATGTGAGCCACCACACACCATAGAAATGTGTAATAAATGTGACAAAACAACGCACCTTGGTTACTTGATGACTAGTGGTAATGGTTCCTGCTGGCAGTTCTCCAATTTGTATCTCACGGAGTGCAATTTTGAGGCTGTAGATGAGCTTTGCCATCCATCAAGTCTTATGCAGAGCACCAGGTCTCCGAAATTTCACCTCGTTGATAGATGCAGATAAAAACACAAGTGATAGTTCAGTGAACTCATGGTAATCATCACCCAGAAATTTGGCATCTTTAGCAGCACAATCAATCATCTCAATCTTCATTCTAGTCAATAGGTCTTGCGACTGTGTCATGATCAGCAGGGCGAAAAGGAACTATCTGAGTTGAATTATGTGGTATCAGATCCCAATTGCTTCGCAACCTTGTGAAAAGTCTGACATCTTGTGATTTAGATGCTTCTATTTTCAGGTCCGTAAAGACGTGAGAGAGCAGGACTTCACTAACATAATGACATCAACCTGACTATAGGAGAGCACACTGTAGCTTATCTTGTATGGCAATGCAAGCTGCAGTCAGATGGCCAGTGTTTGAACTTGTTGTATTGAATGTCATATTCACAACTTGATTGATACAACTCCTTCAGCAGCTTTGCCGTCAACAGAGCAATTATTTCTCCGACTGATATGTCTGTCGCCTTAAAATAACTTGGAACTCCGAGCAGCTTCAGCTATGATATATCATACATGGATTGTTGAGAGTGGGAGTCATCTTTCCATCCCAATGCAAAGTGAGGAGTTTAGGTGGCTGCCAGGTGTTTTGAATTGTTGTTGCTATCTCACCTACGACCTTGTGCTGTGTTGGTGTCATTTTAAGTCTTGTTGCCAATGACACTAGATTTGGTCGGCTTAGCAAGTTTGGAGGTATAAAGGCTATTGTTCCTGTTGGTTTTCTTTTAGATGGTGCTTTATCTGTTGATTCAGAGTCAGCTTTCAAATCCATATCTTTATAGGCAGACTCTTCTGATTCGTCAGCATTGCTCTCTTCTGATTCAGTCAAAACTTCTGATAAT